CACTTGTTCAGTGAACTCATGTGATGTGAAAATGTAATCAAACCTTTTATCAGTGGGAAAGTGTACTTTGTAGGACACTATCCTAGCATTTGCTGGCCTAAGGTTAGCTTATGTACTGGTAGTTTTTTGTTTAGCTGGCTGACTGTCAGACGTAGCGACAGGAAGTTTGCATGTCTAATATATACAATAAGTAACTGCGACAATGTTGGGAATCAATAAGCATGTTTATGCACATTTTTGTGTGTTAAACAGTGAGAAGATGCCTGAGGAATGGATAAGTATGACGTTTGCGGTGTTCAAAAACAAGGTGATGTGTAGAGCTGGGGTAACAATTGCAGGATGCTGAGATGAATTTACGTTAAGGTAAGGTGAGAGTCTGTGAACAGCAGTAAGGCTGTATGCTGGGGAAGATGGAGAAGGACTTGCACTTTGTGTTTGTGGATCCAGCGAAAGCATATGATAGGATGCAAAGAGAGGGACTCTGGTACTGCAACGTATTGAATATTGCACGAGATTAGCTTTGAGCTCCTTCTTGCTTGAGATGATTAGATTAGATTAGATTAGATGAAACTTTATTAATCCCTCGGGTGGGTTCCTCCGGGAAATTCAGTGATGGACATGATGATGATGGAGAAGCTGACAGATGAAGTCAGGCAGGAGTGGACTATCATATTTGCAGATGATATTGTGATCTGTAGTGCGGGTTGGAGGCAGATGGAAGAGACCCTGGAGAGGAGGAGATATGCTTTGGAGGGAAAAGGAATAAAAGTCAGTAGAACATACTGACTTTCATTTATACATCTGTATAAACGTAAATGAGAGGGAGTCAGGTCTAACAGTGAAACCAAAAGGACAGACACTCACATTCACAACTATGGGCAATTTCGAAGCACCAGTTAACCCCGCTAATTGCATTTCTTTGGACTTTGGCAAAGCTTGAGAGAACCCACGCAAACTGGGGCGGACATGAAAAGTCCACACCGAAAGGCACCGGCCAGATGTTGGAGTCAAGCTCAGCACCTTCTTGCTGTGAGGCAACAGTGCTAACCACCAGGCTGCCTGTGAAAAAAGTAATTGCCCCCTTAACCTGATAACCTTAAACCTTGAAAGAACTGCAATCAACCAATCAGTTTGCAGAAACTGGCAATCGCTATTACGCTCAGGGTAAATTTTGAAAGACAGAATTATTTTAAATCAGTCATAGTCATGAACAACCTTTTTCTTCTTCTTCTTTGAGCTATTCAGAGGTAGCTGCTGTTTTTTGGATCATTGTCCTACTACATAACCTAAGTGCGATTAAGCAGCAGTGGACGGGCTAATGGTTCGAATTTAGCAGGGAGCAGAATTTATGGTTCTATCAATCACAGGTCATCCAGATGCTTCCATTTCAAATTTGAAACAATTTAAAAAACAAATTAAAAACAAGAAAAGTATAAACGCCACAGTATTTGAGTAAATGTATTTATTTTCTCCACAACAGTTAGTTTCTGCTACTAAATATTCTAATTCTGTTAAAAGACAACCTGAAAAAAGTTGTTTTCCGCCGAGCTGCTGAACAACATTCCAGACGTGATCTGGTTTAAAAGTCTACCTACAGGATATAACAGACAAAGGGGCATCAATCCTTATCCCTGTGGGGAAAACACAAATGAAACATCCTGTTGTTGTCTAGTGCAGGTGATTCTTTTAACTGTCTTTCTTTGACTACAGTTCTTATAGGGGGGAAATGAATGGATAGATGAGACAATAAAACACCAATAAAAATGTTTGCTACAGCTGTAAGAACCTCCACTAGCCTGGAGGGGAAGGCATCCCCTACACAATAAAGCAAAGTAAAGGCTGCTGTTTAAAATAGATATTCATCACTGACTAATGCCTCTGTTGTTAGGGAGTTCCTGTTTGCAGTAAACCTGACTATAAAATGGGAGGCCTTTAAAGCTTTCCTGAGAGGGCAAATGATCAGTTTTACAAGCTTTAAACATAAAGCATCCAGGATGGAACTGGTCCATTTGGAGAAAAAGATGAAAGATATTGAGGAAGAGATATTTATATCCAAATCTAATGCTCTAATTCTAGAGTTAAATAAACTCAGAGCTAAATTTAATATTTTGTCATTAAATAAAGCTACTAAAAGTTTACTAAGACTGAAACAGTCATATTATGAACAGGGTGAAAAAGCAAGTAAAATACTGGCTTGGCGTATTAAACAGGCTCAGGCTGAAAGAACAGATGAAGGACAGATCACAGCTGATCCTAAACATATTAATGACTCTTTTTCTACTTTTTATAAACAGCTATACACAACTGAGCATTTAAAGTAATTTTCATCAAAACAATTTTTTTTTTTGGATCAGCTGCATTTTCCTAGACTACCAGAAAACGATATGGATGAACTAGAGCTTAATATAACAGTAGAAGAAATTACTAATACTATAAGGAACATGAAAGGGGGCAAAACTCCTGGACCTGACGCAATACCAATAGAAATATTTAAAATATTTAAAGATAAATGAATCCAGCCTTTATTGGATATGTATCAGGAATCATTTGAATCTGGGTCTCTCCCCCTTCACTTAATGTTGCAACAATTACTTTGTTACTGAAAGCTAATAAGCCAGCAACACATTGTAGTTCTTATAGACCAATCTCACTGTTGAATTATGATTGCAAGATACTTTGCAAACTATTAGCTATGAGATTAGAGACACTCTTGCCTAAAATGATTCATTCAGACCAGAACGGCTTTATCCAGGGGAGGCAGGGGTTTCACAATATATGGAGGGTCATGAATATCATTTATGAGAAAAAAGAGACAATGCGTTAATCTCAATGGATAAGGAAAAAGCCTTCGACAGGATCGAATGGCCGTTCTTATTTGAAGTTTTGAAAAAGTTTGGTATTGGAAACAGATTTTTTAAATGGAGTCAGTTGATGTACTTCAACCCTCAAGCAGAGATTTTAACTACTGGTCTTTTTTCCGCACCATTCAGATTATATCGTGGAACTAGACAAGGGTGCCCCTTGTCACCTCTCTTGTTCACCTTGGCAACTGAGCCTCTTGCGATGGCAATTCAGAATCATAAAAACATATCAGGAATTAAAGTAGGCAATGTTGACCACCGTATCGCCCCATATGCAGATGATGTGATCCTGTTCTGCACCAATTTAAACAAATCAATATCATCCATATTAAGTCTCATTAATACATTTAGCACATTTTCGGGTTATAAAATAAATTCAGATAAATCCGAAATATTATTTTTGAATAAAAATGAACAACAAACTCCTCCAATCAATACTCCTTTTCTGTTATCTGAACATGGGTTTACTTATCTGGGTGTGAAATTAACTCACTCAATTGAAAATATTTTTGCATCCAATTATAATTCCTTAACGACGTCAGTTATTACACTTCTAAACAGATGGATGAAACTACCTATATCTTTAATTGGTCGTATTAATATACTAAAAATGTCAATTTTGCCAAAATATCTTTACCTTTTTCAATCAATACCTCTCTCTCCACCAAACTTTATTTGGAATAACAGAAGACCAAGACTCAGAATCTCATTATTATACCTTCCTTATGAAAGACGGGGTTTACAACTTCCAAATTTAAAGTGGTACTTCTGGGCTGCTCAAATCAGAGCGGCAATATTTTATTTTGTTAATGCGCAAATTCCAGTGTTGGTTTCTACGGAGTCTACAGAAATCAAAATTCCCCCTACCTTATATCTTTACTCAGCCGACAGGAAGACACTAAATAAGCAAACTAAGAACCCCTTTTTAAAAACCCTATAATGATCTGGTTTGAAATACATAACTACTTGGGAGAAATGATCCAACTGTCTCGGTTTACTCCGATATTTGGAAATAACAGCTTTCCTCCTGGTAGGGTGGATGCAGGTTTTAAATTTTGGTTCGATGAAGGTATAAGAAAGTGTCTGATATATTTAGGAATAATACTCTTATGTCTTTTGAACAACTTAGAAGTACATTTTTCTATTCCTGTCAAACATTTTTTTAAATTTCTTCATTTAAGAAATTTTATCTTAACCACACAAGGTAACAGCTTACAAATCCCCACCTACTCCTCTCTAGAGAACACAGTTATAAAGCATGTAAATGGGACAGGCCAAGTTTCTGCATTGTATAAATTATTTATGGAAAATTCCAAAGAATCAACACAGTCTATTTTAGAGGCATGGAGGAATGATTTGCAAATGGATATATCT